TTTTTATCATTACATAAAACAATTATCAAAAATCTGACGCCAATATACTACTTTAAACTATATAAATAGTTACATTACACATTTATTGTATAACAGCCAATTATGCAAAGGTCCGGTATGCGGAATTAACTGAATTAAATTTGAAACAAGTTTGACAATTCTTGTTTTTATTTTCCATATAAAAATAGAATAATATTTTTTAGTTACAGAATCATTATTTTTTTTAAAGACAACCAAATAAAAAACAAAATTTTTAATATTTATGAAATTTTGTTTCCTGTTCATTTTGTCAGTTACGCTGGAAAAAATCAATTGGTAATAGTGCAATTAGTGATACCTGATGAAATTACCTTTCTTAATATGACGAAATTGATGAAACCGAAATGACGAAACTAGTTTTTTATTAATGACGAAATTATTTTACTTAATTGCCGAAATTATATTTAACTTAATCTAAATTCCTTGAATTAAAATACATTAAAAAATATAATAATTTTATATTTATTTATATAAAAATATTAAAGAGATGAAACTTTTGACGAAATTACAATTTTTCAAAAAAGAGTTTAGTCAAGTATCACTAAGTGCAATTAAAAAGAATTTTTCTAAATATCATGAACCTTATAACCAAAAGTAAATGAATTACTTGTCATCAACCATTTATAATAGTTAAAGATCATAACTTTTAAAAGAACTTAATAGGCGATACAAGAGATAAGAGCATAGCAAGCAGTGTATAATTTTTAAACTTGGGGAAGATGCATAATTATAATGAGGAAATTTGTTTTAGTATAGTGCAACGTATAAATGCTGCACATTTATTTTATTATTCATTATATCTTCTCTTTCTAAATAATAATCCAGTTTCTACTAATAATATTCTCAGTGGATAATCATCTAATCATTTTTCTATTATAGTAAAAGAAAATGATTCAAAATTTCTTTAATAATGCTATTATATTAACTATTAATATTAGATATTAACAATTCCAATTAAAATTTTAATGTATCATAATTTCTCAACTAGATAAAAATAAAAAATTCTCACATTAATGCAGTAACCAAATAAAGGGCTAAACTAGATTTTCTAAATTTAATAGGCGAATATGATATAACGAAATTAAACTAAATAGATGAAATAAGCATAATATTAATTTATTATCGGTTGACTAGTTGATTTAGTCAGCTGACTATAGAGTTTAGCTAACCCATATAATGTTAATGGTAATATGTTCCTTTTGCTTACCGAACAGAGGATTCTTAATTTTATTTCTTTTAGGCCAGCTATAAACATCACAGAGTTTGTCTCTCAGTTGAATAGCCAAAGTAAGTTCTATCATAAAATAGTTTAATATTTGTATGCCTTGCTTGTTATTCAACAAACCTCTTTCTAGTCAGTTATTTTCGTAGTATTTATTAACTCATCCCCATATTTTTAGGGTTTCTAAGTCTCGAAGAATATCTATCATATGCTCTATCATATATCGCATATTCTCCGTATAGCACTATTTCAACAGACTTCACAAATGCAGTCAGCAACTCTCCAGACAAAGTGATGATTAGAAAGATTTTCTCAAAAGTGTAAATAATTATACATTTGATCAAGATGAACGAAAATTCGAAAAACTGAATTTTATTGAAGATTTTATTACAACCAATGAAGAAATTGTCTGCCAGGCTGTGAATGTTAATGTTTGCCTGCTATTGAATAGGGTCGTGTCTTATTTTAAGTTTATAATGCAAAATGTTTCTGGTACTGGTAACCCAGATTTTGTTTGCTACAAAAAAGATGGTGATGAATTGATCTTGGCAATCGAAATTAAAAGAGTACACATTTTAAACACATTGAATTTGACTAAATGTTACCTAAAGTTTACAAAGAAAATGCTAAAGTGAAGTAGGTCATACAGCAACTCTATAACTACTTGTCAGAAAACCAACTTAAATATGGAGCACTTTCTACTTATAATCATAGTTGGTTTGTTAAGAGAAATCATAGATATCTATATATATCAGAGTCTCTTGAATATAACTCAACACATCTACCAGTTCTAAAATCCTACGCCTATCTGGCTCAGCAGGCAATAGACATTAGTCATAATTCCTCTCATGCTAACATTATTCCACAAACTGACGACTCACAACATAATTTGCAAAAATGTCGATATGATCCTAGCTCAAAACAACCCTCTTCTGGAAAAGTCAACAATCATCTTCATCTTCTAAAGGATCATCTTCCAGTACTTCTGGGAAAATATCAGAAAAACAAGCACAGAGTTTTAAATATGGGAATTTTAAGTATATAAGTATATTAAGTGTTAAAGAAAACAAAAAGGTTCTTGAATGTGAATTTCATGAAAAACCAATTGTCTTAAAATGTATAGACTTATCAAAGAAACCTAATTGTCTGGATGAATTGCTGAATGAAGTTGAAACGTATAAAGTTCTTGCTAAACTTCAGGGTGTATATATTCTAAAACTGTTATTTTATGGGGATTTAGCAAATGGAATGAATTTTGTTATAGGGTTGAGTATTGTTAGCATCACATTGTATCATCATAAGATAGATAAAAAGTAAAAGAAGAAGGCTTTCAGAGCATTAGATAAAATTCATGATTATAAGATTCTTCATAATGATATTTGTGAGAAAAATATCCTTGTTGACGAAAAAGGATATATGTATTTGACCGATTTTGAAATGTCAATTCGAAATGATGATAAAGAGTTATTTAGTAAAGAGAAGTGTGAGTTATCCTATTTATTAGACTGCTATATGTAATTAATATTTACTATGCGAAAATTCACAAAATATCTTAAGTTAGCTATTTTAATGTCATTATAAATATGATTATTAATAAAGTAATACCTATTTGCTATATTATGCAAAAAATAAAAAAAAAATAAATGTGAGACGTATCACCTTATATGATCGCTAAAATTCTTAAAAATGATTTGCAGAGTCAATTAGAGTTGGTTACATGACTTTGATCATAGATTCATAGTAATCTAACCAAAATATCAAATATGATTATCATTTACATGTATATGTTAACATGTATTGGCTAAATTAGACTCAAATTCTTTTTCAGACTAAATTGTCTCATACATCTAAGGGAGATCTCATGTGATACAAATTTTTAGCTATTATATTATTTCAGAACTAATTTAACCGAATTATGACATCAGGAAAACCTCAAACTGATTTACATGCATGTGAATATGCACAGCATCTTTGGCTAAATCCTAATACGTTTATAATCAAATAAAAAATGAATCTGATATTTTATTATAAAATACTGCTATAAGTCTTTAAAACTGCTATAAATCGTAAATTGCTATAAACTTTTATACCTATAAAATGGTTAGAAACAACTATTCTGGTTTGAATCCTGTAGTAGTGTAGGCATTAAACCATCTGCAATATAGGTATAGTAATGAAACATCAGAAATGTGGTATTCTCGTGTTCATTATACATTTAAGAAACTTTTTGAATATAATCCAAAATACTTTTCGAAGAATAGATTTATTCATATGACTAAAAGATCATATAAAAATGGGAAATTTAAAGCTAGAAGGTGTTCATTTCATATTTATTATTTTGTAAGAAGTTATACTTAGAAACTTTTTCTCGTCAAGAGTACTATCATTTCTTACTATATTCCAAACTCATTTTGCCTATATTTTAGATCTCAACTTATAAGCTCTCCAAACCCATTGAATAACTTTTGCACTATTAATTAAATGATTTACATGTCTTTTTCTAATTTCATATTTATATGCATAACTATAATTAATCAAGCCTTTACTGAATATAAAACAATATGTTCAATAAATCTTTTCAATCTCATCAGAAGTGAGTATTGATACATTTCCTCCTTTTTTCACATTTTTCTGTACAGGTTTAGAATATATGAAGCGTCTTTCAGCAATAAAAATTTCTTCAGATGATCATTCGCACATTTGATGGTATTTTCTTAGATAATTACTAAGGAATCACATACAGTGCAAAAGTTCCCAATGATCAATATATATATTATAATCGGGTGGGATATAATTATGAAGATAGAATTCAAGCTAAAGACGTACTTGAACATGATCAGCATATTCCTACATTATATGATTATTATGATTCACAAAGCTAAGCAGAAAAGAAAAGAGATCAGTTATAGGAACGATTAAATAATGTAGCATACATATTTGCTTTTATAGAATTACATCTGCAAGGCTGTAGAATTGTTAAATATGGTGATTGGTCTTATATGTTAAAGTGGCTATAAAATGCTGAATATTATTATATTGCTAAATATCTCAACAATGGCAATGTAAACTTTGTTAGAAGTTCAGAATATAAGCGATATATGTGCAAAATAGTAGGCAAACTATATCCATGTGAATTGTTAAAAATCAACTATTATAAAACTGGATACCTTACTATTGAGAGAAAGCTTAATAGTATAGATTTCTTAGATTCAAAAAATAATTGTGAATATGTACAACGAGTTTTTTGAGTTATAGATTCTTTACCAAAATAATATATTATTATAATAATACAATAAATTGATCCTTTCTTTTTTTGTATATATTGCCTACTGAATGTATCACCTGTGAAAGAGAAATAAAATACGTGATTTTGACTAGGGTGTCCGGCTAAAATTTGCCAAAAAAAGTCACAATAGATTATTTTTTTGATAAAAAGAGGAAGTTCATTCAATAAAGCAATCATAGAGCTCTTGATTTCTAAATACCGTAATTATATTTTTGAAAATTTCTATTCAACAGTTATTCAGCGAGCTTACAAGAATTATAAGAAAAGACCTGTATCTTTGGCAAAACAAGTTTGGGAAGTAGTGAGAAATGATAATACTTCTGATAAGTGGAAGTATTTAGGTATTATTCCTTATGATAAGACTTATTATTATATCAATGGCAAACTCATAAAATTTAACTGGAAAAGTGATTATTTTAATATGCTATATAATTATACCTTTTATTCTCTTATAACTTAATTGAAAGAGAAAAAAATCAATTATTATACTGATTAGGTTGGGTACACTTTGCTCGTGCTAGAAAAATATTACAACAAAAAGGTTATATACCAAATTGGTATACTACGATAAAATGGGTACAGAATCCCGAATATTATTTTGATACTAAAAAGTCTAATTAGTATACTAGTAGTCAGAATAGAAATGTTGGCATAACTTGATTAATATCCCATATAACAGTAATTGGTGATATAGAGATAAAGAATCCCAAGAGCGTCTTTAAGAAATGTTTTCTAATACCATATCCAATTTAATTTTATAGATATAGAGCTAATCTGTAAAATATATTACCTGCAGAGGAAAACTATAAAATTCTTTTTATGATCGAAGTGGATATATAAATAAAAAAATAGTTCTATATAAGAAAATGTACAAAAATAAACATGTTCCTGATCCCTGTTAAAGCTTGTGAAATACATATATGATATAATAGTGATATATTGCTAATCATCTGTGTGAGTGCAATTATCTGCTTATGTGACAAAATAATATTTTGAATTTTTCTCCTTTCTTCAGTCATAGACCTCCCTATAAGAAATCGAAATAAGAAAATGATACGTTTATTATAAGGTTTGTATACGTAATTAATGATTCTATATCAAAATTCCGTATGTTTTATAATGATTTATTTTTTTATAAT